GCTAGGCCTCAACTTACCATCCATTGCTAAGCAAGGCACTTGTTAAATGAGTCACTGCGATGGTTAAGTGACTAACATGGTTATTAAGCGAATCCCCCATTGACTTTGCTTGCCAGAAGGTCGCAAATGGGGACCATGTGAGTCTCTGGGACGTTGCAACCATTGTAAATACGAGTCGGTTGCCAAGAGTCCGAATTCTGATCCCGGGCCATGGGGATGCTCACACAGTCGAAAATGTGGGGGAAAAAGGTCATAAGTCACTTTTTAGAGTCTCATCGTAACTTTGAATGATCGCTAAACGAACAGCTGTTAAAGAGTTGAGGATTACCTGTATGGAGGCTTTGCTTGCATTTGTGACCTTGAATTTTTGGTTCGATAATCCAGAATGAGGATCAAACCTTAGTCTATTTTTCCAGACAAATTACAGTCTTTTTCTTCCTGGGCGTGGACCCCAAAATATATTGTTTTTCAGTGGCCTTATCCTTCTGTCTCTGTTGATTCGGACCAATTAGCAGCCCATATCTCTTCAGTCCTGAGAATGAATACAAAACCCATATCTAAGTGTCCCTTCCAACAAGGCTCTTGACCGAAAGCCAACCTCAACTTTTATGGTGGGTTTCATTTTCTCCTAAGGAGAACTCTAGCTAACTTCTCATGTTAAGTTTTTTTTAAAACAAACAAACAAACAAACTGTTGGAATAAAACAAAGAAACAATTCCCCCCTCCCAAAAAAAGTATCAGGACAGGCATCACGAAATACAGTAACGGAAATCAAATGGTAAAGCCCAGATGTACATTCTTCCTCCAAACATCTGCCAGATGTGGCCTGCAATATAGACCCTGAGAACCATTGGAAACATCAGCACTGTTGGGTCCGGATTAAAATCCAGAAATAAACCAGAGGTTGCATTTTAATCCATTCCAAGGTCGGGATTGCACTGTCCACCTTCCTCAATGAGACCGGGATCTCTCCGTGTTCAATAAATGTAGATTATAATCTTTATCCTTAAATAGAACCTCCATATCAAGATGCCATATACCCTGAATCTTCTTCCACTGAGGACCATCCAGAGGGAAGATAGTGACCTTCAGTGAACCAATGTATACTTTGGGGGCAGTGCCCATCAATGGAAACAACGTGCAACATCGGATAGCACTACGAACCAAACAAGTTGGCATTTTCTTACATTCTCACCCAGCAGCAATTTTTTTCATGAAAACAGTACTACATTTCTTACAGCTACAGACCAAGGATGGCCTAAAACCAAAATAGTAAGGGTGATATTTGGCCTCTTCTTGATACACATATTTCTTGTCTCATTTGGCAGCTGTTTTTCCAAAGCCTGCACTGGTTCCACCCATCAAAGAGTCTGGGTCATGTACAAGGATTAAGGCTGAAATGGTCACGCATCATGATCACAGCAAAAATATGGTCACTTTGATATCTAAAAATATTTGCATGGAGGGTCTCCAAGGATTAGATGTGGTTCCCCAAGGCGGACAAGAAAGTCCAAGGTCAAGAAAAACCTAAAAATTCAAGAGCTTGGTAAGTAGCTAGAGAGAGCGACCAGCAAGGATGTTTGAACCATCTTGTTAGCAGGAAAGGATGGAAGCCCATCAAAACGAGGATAATTCCTATTTATTTATTTATTCAGCATTTTTCTATCCTGGCCATCTCACCTAAGTTACCCTTCTGAGAGGCTAAGTTATTCTTCTCGCTGAGGGAAAGAGAAATGACTCCTAGTCCAGAGAGAATGGAATTCATCTAGGTCATTCCTCAGAAGGTCCAAACATACTTGTGGTGGTATCTCCAGCTAGACTGGAAGGAGGCCTTAAGAGGCGGCTGAGCTTGGAGTCTTTGCAGTGGAGAAAGTGGCCAAGGATTGACCTCTTCCAGAATCCCCGAAGCCCTATCTGACCATTTCCTATCTGAGGGACTGCCCCAAAGAAGAGGAGGTCAAATTATTCTCCAAAGCACCTGAAGGCAGGACAAGAAGCAACAGAGAGAAGCTAATCAAGGAGACAAGCAACTTGGAACTAAGAAAGTTCTTGATCGCTAGAACAATGAATCAGTGGAACTGTTTGCCTTCAATGGTTGTGGAAGCTCCATAACTGGAGGCTTTCAAAAAGAGATTGGAAATCCATTTGTCCAGAATGGGATAGGATTGAGCAGGGGGTTGGACTAGATTAGAAGACATCTAAAGTCCTTTCCAGCGGTAGGATCCTATGATTCTATTCTCCCAAACGCTTGAGGGCAGGACAAGAAGTGGTGGAAGAGCATTAATGAGAGAAGCAATCTAAGGAGAAATTCCTGACAGTTAGAACAATTAATCAGTGGAACGATTTGCCTCCAGAAGTCGTGAATGCTCCAACACTGGAGGGTTTTCAGAAGAGATTGGACAACCATTTTGTCTGGAATGTTACAGTGTTTCCTGCTTGAGCAGGGGTTTGGGTTAGAAGACCTCTAAGGCCCCTTCCAACTCTTGTTATTCCTGTCATATAAGTGACTAACAATAAAGCTACTGTTTGGGACTATTCGTGTGTAGCTCTGACTGCTTACGCTCTATAGTTTTTCAGGGAGGAAAGTCAGCATTGTGAGCTGAAAGAGAATGGCTACCTCAATGGGGCTATCTCAGGACCCATCCACCTTTGCTGCCTTTCAAAATCTTGGACTATATAATTCCTGGCTGCCAAAAATAGCTACCGCCATCTGAGGCTACAGCAACTGTTAACTATCCTCCAGCAGTTGGTTTTCCAATCAACTCATCCTTCAAGCTTTGAAAACAGGGGTCCTATCACACCGATCAGAAGTCTCCAAAAAATATACCTTAAATACGTTACCGTACCAAATCTTCAAGGGGGATAGGATTAGCTACGCTCAGGGGAAGCTACATGAATCTCTTCTCCGACAGAATCGGAGGAAATGAGAAGGACCAGATGCTGGCAACCTGTGGAGATTTAAGAGGTCTAGACATCTAGGCAGAAGCTCTTCCAGAGCAAGTAGGAACGATGTGTTTTTACTCAATGAGCAGAGACTTCTGCCAGGCTACAACCTAGAGCTTTGGTATACTATAAGAGTCTTGACTTGCAAGGGGATCCAACCGGTCAGTCCTAGAGGAGATGACTGGTCTTTAGAAGGCCAGATCCTGAAGATGAAACTCCAAGACTTTGGCCACCTCATGAGAAGGAAGGACTCCCTGGAGAAGAGCCTAATGCTGGGAACGATGGAGGGCCAAAGAAGAAGGAGGGGGCTGGATGGAGTCACTGAAGCGGTCGGTGTGAGCTTAAATGGACTCTGGAGAATGGTAGAGGAAAGCCTGGAGGAACGTTGTCCATGGGGTTGCAATGGGTCAGACATGACTTCGCAACTAACAACAAGGGGTCTTGGAAATGCAGATTGAACCTAGAGTAGCCACGTGTTTCGATCCCATTTGATCCTGAGCAGATCAAAACTTTGATCCAGATTCTTTCATTGTTATTATTATTTCTTAATGGCAGGCATTTTATTTCAGGCTAGTGATGCAAACAGTCTTGCTCGAGGAGCCAGGCATGAAGATTTCAGAGTGGACGATTGACAAGGGACTACGGAAGGGTTGAAAAGAAAGAAAGGATTAAAGAGAGAAGGCGCTTGCTTAACGCTGCAGAAATGCCAGCCCAGACCTGGCTAAGGTCACCATGCATTTAGTTTTAAGTAAGCCTTGCAGTGGGAAAGTTGGCACCATACAGATGGGAGAATGGGGAGACTGCTCTGAAGGCCATGCTGTGCTTTATTTTGCAGGCAGGTAGTAGAAGTCCCTGTGTACCTGTGTGCAGGTACACTGGCTTGCTTGACACCAAGGGATGCTGAGTCTACAAATTTAAAAACTAGAATAAAAAAGAACATTTGCAGCTCAGAGTTGATCAGCGTGGTCCTTAATGTTGTCTGTGCTTGTTTTCTTGCAGATGTTTCATTACCCAACTAGGTAACATCATCAGTACTATAAAGGGGAGAGGTTGCTCTCCCCCCCCTCCCTTCTAGCACTGATGATAATACTTAGTTGGGTAATGAAACGTCTGCAAGGAAACAACCAAGTTTAAAGAGCACAAAAGGACCCCATAAATATGACTGTACCGGTGTTTAAGGTTGGCTTGGTGGAATGTCTGGATTTTGGTGCATTGGTGCGCTCCGTCATGCTTTCTTGCGCTATTCATGCAATTGTGAAGCCCAACGGGTCTCCCTGCATTTGTCTTTTACAATGGCAGCTACTCCTACACACAAGCAGAAACATCAGGACAGGTGACGTTTTGTTAAAGAGTTGCATTGCACATAGCTGGCAGATTGAAAGGAACCAAAACAAAACAGTGCCAACATAAAATTAGACACCGTAATTATTTCTTTAAAAAACAACAACAAAAAACCTCCATCAGCATTAAATGTTTTTAATGTTTCAAAATATTAAGAACGCCTCGTACTGAGGATGTACTGATTGAGAGGAATCTGAAAGAACAGGGTTGCTCCGTTTCTCCTGCAATCTGTTGGCTGAGCAATGCAAAAGTTTTATTTAAAGGAAGTCATCCTATGTTTTCTTTCTTTCTTTCTTTCTTTCTTTCTTTCTTTCTTTCTTTCTTTCTTTCTTTCTTTCTTTCTTTCTTTCTTTCTTTCTTTCTTTCTTTCTTCCTTCCTTCCTTCCTTCCTTTCTTCCTTCCTCCATTCTTTGATAACAGATGCTAATCCAAACAGTTGTTTCATTTGGTCAAAGTAAAGCTTTCTTTCCGTTTATTTCCCCCCTATGGAACTTGAACGCTTTTCAAAGAAGCTTTAAAAATCATGCCCCTAGCCAATTTCCCTACAACTGGGGGAGCAGATAGCACTCTGCATTTGGGCCTCTCTCGCTCACTTATTTTTGTGGTCCTGGAATGAAAAACAAAATAGGAGGAGCAGCGGTGGCTTGCTTCTGACGGTCAACTCTATAAAATAGCTCACGTTTTGCTCCAACAGAACATTCTTTTTTTCCCCCAAAAAAAGTTTAGTTGTGATGGAACATTCAAGCCAATTTCAAGTTTGCTTCCAAAACAAGCACAACCCCCAAACAAAACATACAGGCCAACTCAAAGTGTCCCAACAGAGCGGTTAAGATTTCAGCCCCAAACAAAAACAATTTTTTTCTAAATTCACCCATCTCTCTATTTGCTTGCCACTTGAGGCTATTTAATGGGAAGGGTCAGTGACAGGAATTGGAGCCTCTGGGATGCACACAAAGCTGTTAAGTTTCACCAGGTTTCCAACATTAAGCACTGAGACTTGACGAAGAGCCAAGCGACTACTTTGGTTGTCTGTCCACTCACTGACAGTTCCAAAAAGTGAGAAACTGACAGGAATGGACTCAAGCAAGTGAATCTAAGAAGAAGCTCATGGACAAAAGATGTTGGGTCCAGGAGCAAACGAGGGTGGGAAAAAAAAAAAGAAAGAGAGATAATGTGGCATGCAAATCTTGACAGACTCCGAACCTCTCTCTTAAAATCATAACTGAGAACGAAATAACAACCACAACAAGAGAAATAAGAGACCCACACTTATTACACTTCTCCTCCCTGGATATCATGCACTCTCATTTGTTCCTTGCTTTCCCCAAAGGTTCTTCTGAAGGTGAAGTTGAGTCTGGGGTTTTTTGTTTTTGGCGGCCATGGATAAAGGCGGGTGCTTATTCTCTTCCCACCACAGGTGCATTGTGGGAAATGGCCACAGTGGAGATGCTGAAAAGGAAGATCCAGATGTGCAGGAGCAAAGTCTCGGGCCCCGATTCTGTGCTTTTGTGCTTTCGGTGTCTGCAGCCCGCAAGCCCCCACTTTGCCTTCCAGAGTCCATGGAAGGGAGTGGCGGTCCTGGCCCCCCTCCCCACCCCAAAGTTAAGACAATAAACAAATTCCAATGTTTTTGAAGGGAGGTGGGAGGGTGAAAGAGGAGCCCCCCCCCCCAGGCTGACCAAGAGACACTTTTAAGATGCAACCAGGAGGTGCAGATGGCGGGTGGGATCGGTATACTATACAAAGACAGGCAATAATAATTAAAAGTATTTTAACATCAAAGCCACCACTGATCAGTACAAACGACACGGTAAGGGACCAATCTCTGTCGGAGAAAATTAAGCAGGGGGAAAAGAAAGATTGCTCTCCTCTCCCCGAGAAGGAAATAAATTCATTAAGCCAAGCAACGTCCCTCCCGTTCCCCACCCCCTCTCGACTCCCCTGCTTTGCCTCCTCTGGGTTGCCCACAAAGTGGTGGAAGTTCTCGTTGGCTTCCCAAGTGTCCCTGTACTGCGTCCCACTCCCCAGCGGATGGAGGTCTCTGGGGATGCGTGTGTTGGGTGGGCGGGGAGGCCTCTGGATGTCTGACAAGGCCCACGGTCTCTGTGGAGCAGCCACCAGTCCCAGGGAGGCAGGACGTGGCCTGTGAAGAGAGGGCAAGAGAGGGGAGGAGGTGGACCAAGCTACACATACCACTCTTTTTTGGAAATAAAAGACCCGTCATTCTGAGAGACCATGTTATCGGCTATGTCCAGTTGCTCGGGGTCATACTGGAATCCAAGTGTCCGTTCGTTGTAGGATTCAGAGTGGGCTTCGCCCTCGTCCACCGTGAAGTAAGGCCGCTTGGAGTCCTCCTCGTACTTGGTGGGACAGGACCGGTGTTTCCTTTCGGCCCCAGCGCCATCGTCGTCTTCGTCCTCGTAGTTGTTGCTACCCAGCGGGCCAGGCTTTTTCTCGTCGTCCGAATCGTCAGGATACTGAAGGTTCTGGGCCATGGGCGGGTGATGCTGAGGGATGCCCGCCTTGCTGTACCCGTTGCCGTAGACGTGCTTCTTGGTGCTGTAGTCGCCCTTGAAAGTGTGGCGCCGGTGACGGAGCACCATAAGGACGACCACGGCCACCACTACGACCAACGAGGCTCCGCCCACCACGCCCCCAATCACGGCTGTGGGGATGGTCGGATGTGCCACGGATGTGACCGGTGGAGACGGGGTGTAGGGGAATTCTGGGTAGGAAAAGACAGATGGAAGGGGGAACAAGCATCAGTCTGTGAGGAATGGCAAACACATGCTTTCAGACTTAAAAAAAATAATAAGAATAATTTCAAAAAATCAGGGGAGATGAGGAGAAGGAAAAGGGGAGGGAAAGTCGGGGAAGGGGACAGGAAGTGCCTACCTACCTAGACAGAGAGACACAGAGATCAGTCCCAAGCCTTTTCCTCTGCCTTTTCCCGTTAGCAGAGCCCTGGTCTTTCTTTTCCCAGCCCTAAGGGTCAGATTGACAATAACAATCCTGCCTGGCTGGGGAAATTATGCATTCCTGCTTTGTCTACTGGAACTTTTTCCACCATGATGTGGAGAAGAAAAAGGTTTTCGGCCTATCTCTCTGCCTTTGACCTGAGCCTGTCTTACGAAAAGTGAGGCTGAGTTGCTGGGAAGCCAAGACTGGTCACCGTGTCTGACGTGACACCATGTCCATCCTCTCCCAAACCACTAAATCTTTGCAACATTTATCACACAAATCGCATGCAGAGAAAGCACTGACTTGTCTTCCGATAATAATAATAATAATAATAATAATAATAATAATAATAATAATAATAATAATAATAATAATAATAATAATAATAATAAACAACCAGTGACCCACTTCGTGCAAAGAGAATGGGCGCTCTGAGAGCTGCCACAAAGTGTTCACCCTTTCTGCGAATTATTCCAAGCAAAATATAGAAGTGAGAAAAGATGGCGTAGAACGTGTGCATGCAAAGGCACCAGCTCTGTTCCGACTCACATGCATTAAATCAACCCCTTTGCACAAGGAAAGGAATAAACGGCAGCCGTTGTGTTGGGGAAAGGGTACAGCCAACGCATCGAGGTCAGACACGACTAAGTTGGATCCCATTTGATTTACAATTTAAATCAAATCAAAAGTAAATAGTTTTAGACATGCTCTGTTTAACAGATGCTGATTTAGCGGACTTTGGAGTTAGTGGACATTTTTTTTTTTTGCTTCTGATTCTGTACACTACATTATGGATCTGTCCTTTAAATCAAGGTTTTATTATGGATTTAACAGACACACTTTTTCCCATAAAGGTTTATTACATGAAAGTTTCACTGTACAGTCAATATGATTGTCCTCCAGTTCCAGATCTGGTGATTTTCCTCCTACTATAATTTTATGCTCGTAATTACTTGCCCTTTTTGACATTCTGGATAACACCAAATGTTGAGCAAAGCCACTGACAATCATTTCTATCTGATACACACCGTGTTCTCCAATTCCCCCACATGTGGATCTGAAAACGGCAAGGTTGAGGGTTCGGTTCCTGTATGGGCCACCACGCTGCTCCCCTTTTCATGATTCTCTTCCCGGGGTAGAGTCGGGGCTGATGGAGCTGAGCGTTTACTGGCCAGATGCCCTTCCCGATACCACATGGCTTTCGCAGGAGACATTTTTTTTATTTGCGCCCAAGGAAGAGAGAAACATCTGCCGCTACCTAGGATTGAACTCTCAACTTTCCCCATGCAAGGTGATTAGCTTCACCGCTAGGCCACCATACCGCTAGAAGTTTTTCCAGCCCCTGGTAGTGGCTAGGATTCGGCGCTCTCACCGCCGCGGCCCAGGTTCAATTCCCGGTCAGGAGAAGCCAAAGGCCCTCTTCCTTCCCATCCTTTGAGGTTTCACTCTGACACACAGGACAAGACAATGGCTCTGCATGAACAGGGAGTGGCTGGATTTTTTCCATAAAGGTACATGCTACACAAAAAAAGGGAAAGTGATTTCCCCCTGCGACCCAGTTTGTGCTCCCAGTTAAGGGTGATACGTAGGAGGCAAAGCTCTGATAAGGCAAGGAAATTTCAGCCCAACTTCCTGAGCAAAGACATGTGTGAAGTGTGCTAGACTCAGGTTTTTTCAGGTCAGGATGTTCTTGGGGGGAGGAGGAAATCCCATGGTCCTAATTCTCTTCCTCTTTCACCCTTCCCCTGATTCTCAATTCCGTAGCAATAAGGATTCTTTTCACACAACCCTGGTGAGACTTGGTTGCCATGACATTTGAAGACAGCCTTCTACCCCCTGGGGCTGCCAGAGAGAATTCAAACCTTCGCATTGATTGTCTCTCTTAGTTAGAAAGGCTATACTTTCCACCAGCCCATCCTTTCCATGCTTTGACCAGCCTTGGGGCTTCCAAAGCCCACTTAGAACCCAATTCTGGACACTGCCAAGAATGCTACTCTCAACACAGATGACGGAGAATACGGGCAACTGATTTCACAGATGCCAGGAAAATCCAGGTGCTAATACATGCTAAGAATATCTTCTGGTTCATCTAGAAAAAGAGAAAAAGGAGGGGAAGAAAGGAGAGAGGGCTTTCTAGGGAAAGTAACCCAGAAGCAAAGCAGATGAGTGGAACCATCAAAAGGACCTTCTCAACACAGCCACTTGGGGGTGGTAGAGACCGAGGATTTCAGTTGTGTGGTTACCCTTCACAATACAATGGGAGTGAAGGATCCTTGGTGTTCTCTGAGCTTGGTGGTTTTCTTGGAGATGTTTCTTGCAGACAATGCTACACACGGATGATATGATCTTGTATGGCTAATGAAACATCTGCAAGAAAACCACCAAGCTCAGAGAACACCAAGGACCCCTCATTTCAACCCTGAGCTACAAATATTCTCCAGTACAATGGAAGTTTTAGCCTAAGGTTGCTTCTCCTGACCAGGATCCTCTTAAAAATTAGCAGATAATACAGGTAGTCTTTGACTTGGGGCAAATTCACTTAACTGTCTCACTGAACAACAGAAATTCAGGGTTCAATTGTGATTGTAAGCCGAGGACAACCTGTACTGAAATGCAAAAGGGATTCCTGCCTTCCTTCTTGTAGATTTGGCCTGTCCTCCAAAAGATGTTTTGGCTTAGTTTTGCTTTCTCCTTCAAACCCAAAGTAATCCTCCCCATCTTGGTGTCCTGGTGTCCCCCTGATGTTCTGAACCCCAACTCCTCAATTTTTCCCAGCTAGGACAAGCCATCTTTTAGTCATACACTAGGCTCAGCAAGCATGGTTGGTTGGCTCTCGGCTCTTACTTTTGCTAGGTGAGTTTTCACACCGGTAAGATGGCTACTGATGGTTGACCAAACCTTTTGCAGGTGTGAGTTGCCCTCTTCTGCCCTAGAAGAGGCTACCCACTTCTCCTCCCTTGCATGGAAAGACAGCCGGCCAGAGAGATTACAACTATTTGAATTATGTATATCCAGATTCTTATTTGAAAGTATAAATTCCTTATCCGAATTCTGTCTTGTTTTTTTTTTTTTTAAGAATAGAATAGAATACTTTATTGGCCAAGTGTGATTGGACACACAAGGAATTTGTTTTGACCTTCTTGCCTAATATATATTTAATCTGAGAAAAGAGAGACTTCTTCCTCTGGTTGTTTGTTTCCAGAACAGAAGAGGCACCTGGTAGATATGGAAGGGTGCCTTCTTGACACAATGGAGGACACCAAATGTGGAATTCTTTCAGTGGTTCTCTCCAACGTGGGTACGTTCAATGGTGATGGACGCAGTGGTCTTCAAAAAATCTCTCTTCAAGGACGGTGGTGGGTCAGAGATGTCCATTCAGCACCCTCTCCTTCCCCCAAGTCAGGTTTTCTCATGTGGTCCTTTTTTTCAAGGATGAATCTTCTAAGAGAACCATTAGTTTGATCCTGGACATCCTACTATCCAAGCTTGCCTGAAATGCTAGAGTTCCTGGCGTCTGGATGAAATTGGAAGGGGAAAGAAGACCAAATGGAAGCAGAGCAGAGGGAAGGAGAGAGGTGGGATTGACTTAAGAGAGAACCATGGTCCTTCTTCCCATCTAGACAGCTCTTCAATCCTACTGCCGTTAAAAAGAGCTACTATGGGTCTTTCCATCCTCTTCTTTGCCCCCAACAGCTGCTGCAAGTCAAACATCCTGTTCCCATGCCAACAGTTCAGTCTCCTGGGGCAGCAGCTGGACCAGAAGAAAATCGGATGGTTCTGGGTTTTTGTCTGGTGAAGAGTCAAGTGTGCAGCGTTCCTTTTATTCCACCAGAGAAGGACAATGGTAGATTTATTTAATAAGGAGTCCATGAGCTTTGGGCCAGCGGGAAACCTAAAAATCTCCTCTCCTAGACAAGGAAGTCTTCTGAGATCCATTTGGAGTTGAATTCAATAGGTTCCACCTGTTGTTGATGGACAACTGGAGAAAGTCCACTGGCCAAGTCTGGGTATGTCTTCTCGCACAGCTAGACATGAAAAGGGCCATGTTCAGTTCTCTGCTGACTCCGTGGTCTCTGACTTACAACTCGAGGAAAGGTTCCATCAAGTTTCTAGGCCTCAGGGAAGTCGAATCCCTCTCTGCAATCTGGCACTGCTTCTCGTATGAGAATTCCATGCAGAAGTTCCACATTGGTGGAAATGCTTCCATGGGTCTCTCTAGTGCAGTGTTTCTCAACTTTGGCCACTTGAAGGTGTGTGGACTTCAACTCCCAGAATTCCCCAGCCAGCAGAATTCTGGGAGTTGAAGTCCACATCCCTTCGAGTGCCCAAGGTTGAGAAACATGGCCCTAGCACGTCAAATCCATGTTGGTCAAGGAGAAACAGCATACTTCATGGACCTTCCATACACGCAAACATGTTTTCTGATCAAGGAGAAGGAAAAAAACATACTAGTTTTCCGAAATGTGTGGATTTCCATGAAAACAACTAATCTTAGCGGAAAGAGATGCTTTCTTCCTTAATATAAGCAATTTTCTAGTCATCAGTTTTTTCTGGTAAACAAGTAAACTAGCGTCTCTTAAAATGTGTTTTTTTTTTTTACAAAAAACAGGGAGGGAGATGGAAAGGACCTGCTTTAAATCTGAACCCCTACGGAGAACACTTAAGGTTGCATTTTTATGATTTAATTCAGCTTATGATCCCTAATTCTGAACTCCTAGTGCATTCATTTCCTAAAAAAACCCCCCACCCGGTTGCATTTATACCACCGTGATCTCTGCAATTTGGATTTATACATTACCTATACTTGAACAACCTCCTTCCATTTTTAAATCAATAATACAATAATACACGAAGCCAATGGGACGAAATATTGTAAATTCTAGCCTAACGAATGCGCTCTACTTTAATTCTAAAGCTTGTACATTCCCAATTCGTTTACTGTTTCTGTTCATTTCTCCCCTTTTCTTTTTTTTGTCTTCCTGTTTTTCCTTCCTTACAAACCTTTTCGAAAACACAGTAGAAGCAACCCCCAAAAGATCTCTCTTACGTTTTGCAGGTTGCCAAGCCTAAACATTGTCAAGACACTTTGCACATGCTCAGGCCAACTCATGAACAGCTTGCTAAGGCTACCGCTTAGTGTTTTGAAACAGATTCTCTGGGTTTGCCTACAAGATAAGATTATTCTTTTAAGGTGGTGCTATAGATTCAAGGGAAGCCACCCCCTTTTCGAGGACATGCTAAATCTCCTCTGGCTTCAAAACTGACAAAGAATCCTAGTTTCTGGCGCAAATGAACCTCGGCAAATTGAGAAGCGTCTCCTCCCCCTCCCCACCTCCCCCAAAAAAACCTGGCCTGGATTTGGGGCTGGAAAGAAGCTTGCAACCACCCCCATCCTTAGAAAGGCAGCCTGTCTAATGGGGAGAGCGGGGGGGGGGGTTTAACAGGGTGGGCTTAAGTCAGGCTGCAGGGTGGACTCCTTGAAAGTCTATCCAGCAGTTTTGCAGCTGCTGCTGCTGTTTCAAGGCCTGACAATTTTTGGAGACGGGAGCCAGCTGGCTCCTAATCTCACCTACTGCCTGCCAATCAAGATCTTTTTGGCGGGGTAGAGGCCCCAGTCCCGTCTCCAGTTCTGCAAACTGGGGAGAATGGTCGGCGAGGTTCCCGAAGGTTGTCCCCAAACCAGCGTCCATTCTGGCCACTGGCTCTTAAACGACATCTGCATGGGTGCCTAAGCCCTAGATGAAGGATGTTGGGCTTAAATGTCCTGCTTTCCTTCCGATGGACCCCACCCCAACAGATTCTGGAAAAGAACCTCTCTTGTGGGGTGCCCCAGCCTCGCTCCCTCCCTCTATCCCCAGCTGTTGCTGCTGGATCAAGGTACTGACAGCGCTGGGACTAAAAGAATCTTGCTTTTTTTTTGTCTGGTTTAATTAGTCACCGAGAAGTTTGCCTTCTGCTTATGACTGCCAAGTGATAGAAGACACCTTTGGCTGGGGGATCGCTTGCTTTTTTGAACCAAGAATCCATACCATCCATTCCTTCTCTTGAGGAGAGAGGAGGAGGAGGAGGGTGTGTGGGTGAGGAAGGAGATTATCCCTGAAACTTCAGACTGAGAGACAATGAAGAAAAGTTACGCGTTGACTTGGCCGAATCTGGCTGATGTCTTAAGGACATCTGTTACTGTCTGATTTGCTCCTTCCCCCTTCGTCTGGATCTCCTTCATTGGGAGTGTCTCCATCCAAGCTCAAGTGGTCAGGCCAAAGCTGGATGTGTCATTTAACACGGTTAAAAATTGGCATCCCTTTGTTGGAAAAGTGAACACAAGTTAGGATTAGGTTAAGTTGTGACAAAGGTCACAACGAAGGGCCATCACAGGGCCAACCTTGATTTTATAACTTTGCTTGTAAAGAGAACCGTTGGGTCCCAATTATGCAGGGTGTACGTGTCAACCCTCGGAGAAAACCCTCGGAGTTCATTTGGGCATTCTCCTAACAACCCATTGTTCTAACCCAGCTCCTAAATACGACAAACCCTCTGTAGTTAAATAAATGGTCCCTTTATTAGGAGCGCCGGCAGCCCCGGCCAAAAGTCTCACTCTCTCTCTCACCACAGGCTAACAAGTCTGTCTGACAGGGAGGTAAATAGTTGTCTGACACACCTATTCATCTCCCCACTCCCTGCCTTTTATCTCTAGAGCTAGGATGGGGTTTCGCTAGCAGCAGTGGCTCTTCCGTCCCAAGGACCAGCCCATAGATTTCCACTGCTCTCCTCTCCTCTGCCTTCTGCGCATCCGTGCATCAGGCACTGGACCCAGCTGTTCCTCCTCTTCCTCATCAGCCACCTCCAGACCTGGGGGCTCTTGACTCTCCATCTGAGGGCTGACGGATGGCCTAGCCTCCATCTCTCTCTCCCTCCCTCCCTCCCTCCCTCCCCTGCCCCCCCCCCTCTCTGCCAGATCCATTCTCTTTTCCCCCTCAGAGCTCCCGACTCCCACGCTTCCACCTCCTCCTCTGATTCAGCTGCTGGAGGGGCTGGTGGCCGACAGGCGGCAACATCCATCCACAAAGTTTGCAGAGAGGACCACAAGCAGCAGGGGGGTGGGTGCCAATCATGTCTTTAAAAAGCCAGGATTGGCTGGCAAAGAACCCTTAAGCCCAGATCTGTCTACTTTTTGAACGAGGAGCTCTGGCTGGCTCCAAACGGGAGCAACCATGTATGAAACTCTCCTCTCTATGCATGCCCAGATGTGCATGGTTGGCAAAGCGTGTTCCCTTCAATCCCAAACTTCCTCTCTCCCCTCTCCTGATTAACTTCACGCAAGCCAACTGTGGTAAACTTCCCCATCTCGCTGGCTGGATGTTCATTCAGCTAACAAATGTCCTGCAACACCCAGCTCTTCCGCGAACAGATTGCGAGAAGAAAACATTAAATTTCCACGGAGCTTTTGCTTTATCGGGCTGTAACTGCCAACCTTCGGCTTGCAGCAAGCGGTGGCCATCGCGGTCAGCTCAGCCTGTTCCTCCCTGGGGGCTGAGGGATGACTCTGGGCGTGCAAGAACCCAGTTATCAGGAGGCCCCTTGGGTGGGCGTGCTGAATTCGGGCCCTTTTGCCTTTTCCACCTCTCTGGGATGCAGAGCAGGCCTTAAAAAGAACATCACGAGCTGTAGTGGCACAGTGAGGCAATACTGCTGAGCACTGGCTGCCAGCAGATTGGCAGTTCGAATCCCACCAAGCTCAAAGTTGACTCAGCCTCTTATCCTTCCGAGGTGGGTAAAATGAGGACCCAGATTGTTGGGGGCGAGAGGCTGACTCTGTAAACCACTTAGAGAGGTTTGGAAAGCACTGTGAAGTGGTATATAAGTGCTATTGCTATTCCTTCCTTCCTTCTGCCCTCCTTCTTCACAATTCCTTCCTCCCTCCCATTTAGAATGCAATAGTGCAGGAAAACTCTGCCGCCTACCATTCCCATTTAAAACAGGCTGTTTAAAAAGCTTTTTTGAGGTGGTGGTGGTGAGGTGGGGTGTCCCTGCACAGGGAAAGCAACAGCGGAAGATGCTGACAGTAATACGAAGAGTTGATCCCCTTTTCCCCAATTACACCAGGCGGCCTTCTTAGTTTACAGCAAGGGTTCTCTCTCTTGCTACTTTAAGATGTGTTGACTTCAACTCTCAGAATTCCCCAGCCGGCATAGCACGGCAAGCACTTCCTCCCCTTGAACCTTCCAACTTGGTTGGCTTGGCATCAAGAGGATGGGAGCTATGGAGTTACACTTGGGAGAATCCCAGTTGAAGGACTTCAACTGTCATCTCTTGCTATCTTCTGAGGATAGGACCGTCCTCCTTCTGCCCACCAATTCTGCTAACATCACATCTCATCTCTTACTCAACCCTTTCTTCTGGGGCTTAGACTACCCATAAGCCTTTAAACAACCCTGGAGGGAAACTGTACACACACACACACATACACACCCACACAATCTCTACATGCTTGGAGTTAAGAATGACATCTGAAAAACCAACAGGAACTCAACTACAGCCATTCTGACCAAGTGACTTTATTCCTAAAGCCTTTGAAAAAAAAACCAAACAAACATCCCTTTTGGAAACAAACAAAGGAACAAAACACCAGCCCCTGTTTCATCCTCTTTCAGATATGTCCTCGTAGCATGTCTTTTAACATCCCACCCTCTCATTTCCCCCTCCCCACCCTTTTCTTCTGATTCTCACGGCCTTTCATCCTTCTGGCTTTGAACCAGATGTGGAATGGGCACCAAAGGAAAAGCGAGAGAAATGGAGATATTGCCAGCCAAAGGAGAGGAAAAAAAAGCAGGAAGAACAACGGGAATTCCAGAAAAACCAGCACTCCGAATGAAAAAAAACAAACAAACACCCTTTTAAATAAACGGAAAGGCCAGAAAATCCCACCGGATTCCATAGTTTCCCCCGCCCCCAGAGGAGCAGAGAAGATGTGAGAAGTCAAAGCAAGCTTGTAAAAATACAGAGATGGCTTAAACTAGGTTTATCTTTGGCAACCTGCACCCTCCCAGCAGATAGTCCACCATGGTTTTCAGCGCCTACCTGTGACATTCACTTCCACCTGCCCAGATCGGGTGCCGATGGTGTTGGTGGCTTCACAGATATATGTTGCCGATAGGCTGTACGTGACTGGTCCTTTGAAGAACAGAGTGCTGTTTTGAATTTCGGCACTGTCGGGCAACGAACCATTCAGCCTGTCGAAAAAAAGGAAGACAAAACCCCTGGGCCATTAGTAGAAAGCTTTCATCCGGCTACTGAATCTACAAACGGTGGCTGGTGAGTCCAACTTCGTCATTGGGCACCTTGCAACTTCTGTATGTGTTCAATTATTAAACCTGCCTGTAGGGCGATTCCTGATCGGTGGTGTAGTTAGGATCTTGGGCTTAACTACCTTCTCCTCCATGGAACTGGGCAAAAAGACAGAAGATCTGTGGGGTCCTAGGTGCTTGTGTGAGCTGGGTTGTTTTCTTGCAGATGTTTTATGACTCAACTAGACCACATCTCCAGCTCACAAGTCAGACACATTCCTTGTGTGATGACCCAAAGGGGCGTGGCACAAAGGCAACACAGTCAGATAAGCAATAAGAGTCCCTTTATTATCTCCAGCTTTGCCCCCAATGTCCAGGTTACTTTCTGGCTGGAGACAAACTCTCTCGGGAACAGCCTTTGGCTGCAGAGAATCAAGTCCAAAACATGGTCAACACAAACTGCAACTTAAAGTCCAAACATGCAATTAGTTTGGCAGGGCAGCAGCAAGAATTTCAGACTTGAAGGCATGGCAAAATTCACATGGTTGGGAAGACGCCAGGAACACAGATAAGCCACAGGATAAAGTCATGTTTGCTCCCAGAAGCCTGCTGCACTCAGCCTGCCTTTCTTATCAACTGTCTTCCCAGCGGTGGCTAATGAAGGGAATCAGGGCCATTTCCTCCCTGTAAGCCATGCAACCAACGTTGCTCCCTTTTTCATTCCTCCCTGCGTGCCCTAGGATGAAGAGAGCGTGGGCCTGGGTCTTCCTCTGAACTCCCTCTCCCTTGTTCTATCTCTCCCCAGCTGGACTTTGCCATTCTCCTCCATAGCCAACAGAGTAACCCTCCCATTCCACGTCAGCTATCTGGCTTCCTCCACTTTGTTAACTAAAAGAAGAGCATATTTGTAGTTCAGGGGTGAATGATGGAGTCTTTGGCGCTCTCTAAGCTGGGTTGTTTTCTTGCAGATGTGTTGATTCAGATAGACAACATCTCCAGCTCACAACCCAGACACATCCCTTGGAAGCTATCGAAGTCTCTCCTTTGAAGTCCTACTCCTTTTTGTTAACCAACCAGAAAAGCGTATTTGTAGCTCAGGGATGAACTGTTGAGTCCTTTTGTGCTCTCTGAGCTTGGTTGTTTTCTTGCAGACATTTCATGACCCAGCTAGGTAACATCATCAGTGCTAGAAGGAAGTAGGGTTTGCTCTCTGTTTATATGTCGTGGCTTTCCCTATTAGTGTTGGTGGGAGTATTGGTTTCTTGTGGGATCCTTGAAGCTCTCTCAGCTTGGCTGTTTCCCTGCAAGCTGCAAATGTTCCATTGGTATGACACAGAGGTTATTTTGCACCAACAGTGAGCAAAACACACCTGGTTGCAAAGGAAATGCCTTCAGTTTTGCACAGGAATGATCATTTCTTATGACCTCTTGAAAACACCAATTGTTGATTGAGATGGCTATCATCCTATTTCAGTGTTCGAAAAGATTTTAAATTATTAATTTAAGTTTTAAGAGAGAGGACTTTTAGGATCTACAGCTGCCACGTTGCTAACTTCTGATATACAACTGCTTGATTTCTTTAAAAAAAGGGATAAGATGAAAAGGCAAAAAAAAAAAAATGAAATTAGCTCTCTGGCTCTAAAGAAGGGATAACTTCAACCTAGGGTATTTTATTCACCTATCTTCTCAAAAATAGATTTGCTAATTATCTCATCCTGGGCACCCCTTTTTTTTGAACTATTACCATCTGGCAGACAGTACAGGATAATAAAAACAAGGATGAATAGGCTGAAAAACAGCTTCTATCCCAGAGCAGTAACTAACTATATTGAATTCTACTGTATAGTGCAACGCTAATGCAATATCAGAGGTTTTCAATTCAATTGTATAGAATGCGAAGGAAGTGTGCTTGTGTTTTATTTTTATAGTCATAATGTACACTGAAAATGGCATTTAATTTCGTTGTATGAGGTGCAATGACAACAAAATAAACTAAGTAACTAACGCTATCTGTTCTATGGGAATGGTTCTTTCCAGAGGCGGTTCTGACCGGTTCTGGAGAACCGGTAGAGGAAATTTTGAATAGTTTGGAGAACCGGCAAATCCCACCTCTGACTGGCACCTCCCCCATCTATTCTCTGCCTCCCATGATGTCCCAGGTGATCGGCTGGGTCTTCTTTGGTTTCCCTGCACAGGAGAACTGTTCTGACCCAAACCTGGTTCCAAGAGAGCAAACACAAGACAAAGGTAACACAACCTTTTGCTGTGTCATTTAAGAATCCTGTTTCTTCACAGATAAAAGGCTACTTCCAACTAATTAGCTCCGATAAGAAAGAGCCTTGCCAAGTTTTTGCAAGGCCGACAAGAGCAACAGATAAAGTTCCTCAACAATAAATCAAAGAGCCTCCAAACACCAACTCATATTCCTAGCGCTCATCAGGCTTGAGTGTCGAACTTCTTTGCCTTCTGCAAAGAACTGCAGTTTCTCAGCTGGCTTTTGTCTTCTTAGGGAGGGGCCGTTACCTTGCAGCCTTCCTCCTGAGTCGCCTGTGCTGCTGCAGTTGCTCTTTCCTTCGAGCAGCCCTGCACATACGCTCACTGGGCACAGGCTCCCTGGGATCCTCTTCCTCACTGCTGCCAGCCTCCACAATCTCCAAAGGCAGCATTCCACTCCCCGATGGTCCTGGCCCCATCCCTGCATCGCACACACAGGCCCCTCATCTGAGTCCTCGCTCTCCGAGAGCTCAGCAGCACCTGCTGCTGGCGAACCACAAGAAGAACAGAGCTGGAAAGCAGGTTAGTGGGGTGGGAAGAGCCCACCAAGCCACACCCACAGAATCAGTAGTAAAAAAAAAAAAATCTGAATCCCACCACTGGTTCTTTCCCCCAAAATACTACAGGAACGGCAGCCTCGTCTTGTTAGCCCTGATAGAAACCGAGAGAAGCTCAACAAACAAATAAATACATTTAAAAATCAATCAATTCCTAAGTGTTTTGCAAAAAATATCACAGAACAAACATAAACAACGCTGCGCACAGAGGAAAATTATGCAGTTTGCTCATTTTTAATCAATCTGAGGGAAAGCAATTAAGTTCAGCAAAAGCAATCGACAGGCACCCAACCCAGGGGTGACAGGCCCAATTTGCATTCAGACGATGCTCCAATTAGAAGCAGTGGGTGGTGGGGAAAGCCCCTCCCTCCCCTTGGGAGCAATTAATGAATAGAAAAAAATCAGCCCCCACGCACACATGCCAATCACCAGGGTCCTCTAAAACAGCTTCACCTTCTATTTCCTTAAAATACACCATCGCCACCATCATTAACCATCAGCTATTTGGCCCAAAGAGATAGAAACAATCAGAAGAGCTTTGATTTTTCTCCATGTTAACATGCCCCAAACAAGTAGCTACGCTGGCAAGGACTTTGAAGAGAAGCAATCAATATTTTATAATTTAAGGCAAGCTATAGTGTTCCCAGCCAGAAAACGAATGCGTTGTTTTGAAAAAGGAAGAGAGTATGAGATGTGAAGGTCTTAGAATCATAGAAACCTGGACTAGAAAACCTCCAAGCAAAAGATTTTGGAGATCTCGTAGTCCAGTCCTCAAGACAAGAGTCCATAGACCATCCTGGACAAATTATGGTCCTATTTTTCTTTTTTGAAAACCTCTAGTGATGGAGTCTCCATAACTTCTGAAGGCAAGCTATTCCATTGATTAATGATAGGGTTCTTGAGGCTCTTCAAGCTTGGTTGTTTTCTGGCAGATGTGTCATGATCAAACTGAGGGACATCATCAATTGCTAGGACTATGGGATGTGTCTGGGTTGTTAGCTGCAGATGTTGGTCAGAAAAGTCTACAAGAAAACCACCAAGCTCAAGAGAGTACCAAAGACCCCATAGTTCAACCCAGAAATACCGTCTTCTATTTATTAATTGTTCTTTTTATCAGGAAGCGTCTTCTTAGCTCCAGGCTGGATCACCTTCTCATTAGGTTCCACCTATTGCTTCTTGGCCTGCCCTCAGATGCTATGGAGAACAAATTGACCTCCTCTTTCCTATAGAAGCCCTTCAAATATTGGAAGGTGCTATCGTGTTCCCCTTAGTCCTTCTCTTCATTAGGATACGCATAATATTTTAGTTCTCTTAGCTGTTCATCATATGGTTTAGCTTCCAGCCCCATAGTCATCTTTGGTGCACTTCTCTGCACTCTTTCTGATGCCTCAGGATCTTTTTTTCATCATATACAAATGCTTTCACTGCCTTATTCCTTCCTATTCCTGCCTTATTCCTTCCAGAGGATATCCAAGCTGGATATGCGACACAGAATGGGATCATTCTCTTCAAGACTGTAGGGGTTGAGAGCCCTCCGACTGTTATTCAGGGCCTTATGTCTATGCTGAATTTCTACATGAGTAGGTTCCTGGCTGTAATGGCATACGAGAATGGCCTTGGGATACCAGTCAAAGAGATGCTGCTTAGGGAATTATAGGATAAGAGGGCGCGTAGCCCACAGCTGCGTAACGGATGGAGTAAGAAGTTCAGAAAAAGGACCCTTCTTAATTATTGGGATGTAAAAGAGACAATGGGAAAATTGTATTTTCAGACTTTCAAGATGGATGTCAGCCTTCCCAGGTAGAGTGGATAAGAACATGGCCGGATGAGTTAATTCTACTTTATTGTAGAATTTAATTGCATTTGGGGGCTTGAAGACAAGGGAGTGCTCAGATCCAAAAGCAATACATTAACAGAGAAACTCACAGTGCAAAGAGAAACCCATGGTGATGATTAGATTGGCTCTCTGTTTAGATAAGTCAGCTTCTTCCTCCTTGGTCATCTGGAAAATGTTATTCTGCTGGCCTTCTTCCAACCACAGAAGACATATTTGAGCGTTGTGAGGATCGTACCACATCCAGGTTAAATGCCAGGGCGCCGGGACTGATGGTTTCTCCATACCAATCCATTAAATCTCTGCCCACAGAAGAGAAAGGGAAGGAAAGCTTCCCTCCTGACATGCTTGCTTTCTAGAGGCGATGCATTTGTGAGATTGCCCAGCAGAAAGCAGCCAATGTCAATCCTAGCTGGGCATCTTCCCACCTCTTCCTGGGCTGTTTGTGAGAAAGGGACTGTCCGCTCACTCGCCTGAGCGATTCTATCCAGGTCACTGCAGGTAATGTAGCCAGTGACTCACCAGCTGCTGATCTAAATGTGTCTGCTTGGAAATAACAACACACACACACACACACACACACACACACACACACACACACACACAAACACACATGCTCCTTCCTAAGCTGATAGCCAGAGATGCACACGTGGGTGGAAATTGATAACCTCAATAACATCTTGGTTGCCAAGAAGGAGAAAGGAACATTTTTGAAAGAAAGAAAGAAAGAAAGAAAGAAAGAAAGAAAGAAAGAAAGAA